ACACTCGTATTTATATAAAATTTTTATAATTATTATTTTTTCTTGTTCTTCTCTTTTTTTTTGTATTTTTCCCGAGTTGTTCACATATGAAATTAATTTACAACATTTGCCGTAAATGATGTAAATTACGTTCTTACAAAACGCGCCATGGGATTGTAGAACTATTTCACTGAACACTCGTATTTATATAAAATTTATTGTTCTTATTATTTTTTCTTGTTCTTATCTTTTTTTTTGTCTTTATCTCAAGTTGTTCACATATGAAATTTATTTACAACATTTGCCATAAATGATGTAAATTACGTTCTTACAAAACGCGCCATGGGATTGTAGAACTATTTCACTGAACACTCGTATTTATATAAAATTTTTGTTCTTATTATTTTCTTTTTCTTAATCTTTTCCCACTTTGTATTTTGTAACGGCTGTGTTTCTTGATAATTATTTTTCATCTTTCTTTACTCTCAGTTTTTATTTTTATGGTTACATTTTGGCACAAGAATACTTCACCTGACTTTTTGTGTGTTCCTCTTACAAAGTAATTGTGATGAAGCGATCCATTTTACGTTTCGTATAGTCGGCTGCGCCAGTTATGGTTCCAATCTTCAGTAAATTAAACACTCGATCTTCAGGTCCAAATCTAGACTGGCGATTGTATTTTTCAGCGGTGGCCAAGAAGCCGCCGCTGCCGAAAGAGTACATAAAATCTTATATACTATACATAGAACTTTTACATGAAAATATAAAAATGTTTATTCTAGAATCCGCCGAAGTGGTTCTGCTTGTCTCATCTTTCCTGTAGGCGAGGGTCGGGGCATCCTGTTGCGATGTCAGCATTTGTAGCGGGGCAACGACTCGAGAGTGTCGTGGTTGGGTTCAATATCAATGCTTGGCTTGCAACATAATTACACCCAGATGTGTGGGTACAAGTGGCCGCCCAGTTAGCGTACCATTTCCAGGGTAGCTCTGGGAGGTTTGGCCGGAGGCTCGTTGCCTACCGACTGGTCGGTAACTCCCGCGAATATGCCGCGTCACAGGGTACGTGGACAGATCGCCGCGGCAGGTACTAAGTTACTCACAATTTTATTTTGCGTCAGTGGGGAATGCCAGCTCTAAACGGCAGCATCCTCACCGCAGCGGGTTATTGTGATTCACTACCAATTATATTTTTTACACGCACACGCACAACTCTTTGATTTTTTTTTTGTATATTTTATTTATAAATTATTCACGGTTTTTTTTAAATTTCTTTCTTTTATATTTGGAGCCGGGCTTGGCCAGAGGGACTATTCTCCCAAATATCACCTATGTACTTAGCTAAGTAGTTGCCAACGTTGTTCCTTTGGTTCCTGGTTCTTCGTTGACTCGTCTCTTCCCGCCTTGCCCTAGGTTTTTCTATTTACGAGTTACGTTACAAATAAAACAGTGATCGTTTCAATACTGTCGTTGTATATCTGTTGCTGCATCGCATTATTGTAGCCGCGAAAGCCGAGTGGACAGAGAGGGTTGAAGGGAAGGGGGCGCTTGGCCAGTGTTAACTTATATATCTATGTATATTAAAGTATTGATACACAAAAAGCCATAGGCAAAAAAAATGAAAGCGACCTATATTTCTGTAGAAATGTATAATGGAATGGAATGAACTATCAAAAGAACTATCAAACATTAAAGCAGAATTTGAAAGATCATATAAGTCATTAACACAAAATAGACCGATACAGAAAGCAACCGTTAGGAAACACGTAGAAATATTAGTTAAATGCTTTAATGAAGCTCGAATACTAATATATGAACACAGGGATAAGTTAAATAAAGACCATTGGTCTCAGGTATCAAAGTTTTTGATTAGACCAAGGTCCAATCTAGCAACTGTTAGTGAAAGGTTCAATCTCGATATAAAAATACCTAATATTCTTAATACCTCAATAATAATTGAAACTGGTGAAGAACCAGAATCAAAAGAAGTTATTGACCAACAAGATTTGGAAGAGGAAGAAATAAATAATCTCACTATCCCAGCTATATTACATATGGCACAGTCGAATACTGATTTTATCAATACTGCATCAAAGCTAATACTAGTATTTGATGGTAAAGCAGAAAACAACAAGTTTTCTCGATGCATTGGAAATTATAGAATTAATAAAAGGCGAACACGAACAATTAACAATTTCAATAATAAAAACAAAGCTAAAAGGTGTCGCCAGAAACTTAGTCGGAAATGAAACAACTATATCAGAAGTCATTTCCGGACTAAAGAGAAATGTCAAAGGCGAAACTGTTGAAGTATTATCAGCTAAACTGATGAATCTACAGCAACGCAACAAAACTGCTAACCAATATACATCACAGGTTGAGCAAATGACAAAAGCTTAAGAAAGTGCTTACATAACGGACGGCTTACCACTTGCGTTGGCCAGAAGTTACTCTACACAGTCTGCAATTAAGGCAATGCCAAAGAATTGCGCAATTGATAAGGTAAAACTTATTATGTAGGCTTGCACCTTCAACACCATGAATAATGCCATATTCAAGTTCGTAATCAGTTGCACGGAAGCAACTGGACAACCTAATACTGTCCTTCATTTTAAAAATTATTCACAGCGTGGTGGAAACCGTGGACGTGGAAACTTCAGAGGAAACTATCGTAGTCGTAATATTAATTACAACAACTACAACAGTTCCAATTATAATAGTAATGGACAAGGCCAATATAGAGGAAACTGAAGAGGCCGTGGCAACTCGAATCGAGGCCACAATAACAGTAACACAAATAATTCTGTAGGAATTGCTCAGAATAATCCGGGAAACTCTCACCCTTCAGATACTCAACAGTAAACCACAATGTTCACACCATCAATCTTAGTCTGAATATATTTGTGAACTTTACGAATACAGAAACCAACAAAAAACTTGTATTCTTAATTGAGACTGGTGCAGACATATCAATTTTAAAAGAAAATTCTGATATCCTTCGTGATATTCAGAAATATAATAAAATAAATAATTCAATCAAAAGGCTTTTTCCACACGATTTTCATATAGTAGATTTGCATTTCGCAATACCATGTGATGGAATAATAGGCATTGATTTCATAAAGACATTCAATTGTCAACTGGTCTTCAATCATAATGAAGATTGATTTATCCTAAAACCAAATAATTTGAATTTTCCAATTTATGTTTCTATAACATACAGTTCTGGTAATAATCCCATAACTCTATCAGTTAGATCTCAAGTGGTCCGAGAGATTCATCTATCATCAGATGAAGAAAGTATACTAATTCCTAATCAGGAAATTCAACATGGCAATTATGTTGCGAACACAGTCGCAACAACCACAAATGCATTTGTCCGATTACTGAATACGACCAGTACTGACCAAATAGTAAATATTCACAGTTTAAAATATGAAACACTTTCGAACTATTACATAGCTCAAAACAATCCAGAAAATATAGAAGAAACTGTCTTATATCAATACTTTGTCTTTTGTTTCAACACGACCCTCTCTATGGCACATAATTATTGTCCATATGAGCTAGTATTTGGTAAACAAGTAATTTACCAAGACAATTTAATAGCATTGATATTATAGAAACAATATGTAATATAGATAATTACGCTAAAGAAAGTAAATACAGACTAGAAGTAGCATATAAAAGATCTAGGATAATGATAGAAGAGCGTAAGAATAAAAATAAGAGACTATATGATCAGAAAGTAAACAATATAGATATATCAGTAGGAGATAAAGTATTATTAAGAAACAAAACAGGTCATAAGCTAGATTACAAATATACTGGTCCGTATAAAGTAAAGGAAATAGGAGATAGAAATAATATTATAATAGTTAATGACAAAAACAAAAAATAGATATTTCATAAGGATAGACTAAAACCTTTTAATTCATAGCCACATTTAGTATGGCCATACATAGATAATAACATAAATATAAAAAGCTTTAATATATACATATTTTTGATAAATTTCATTTCCTTTATTGTTATTAAGTAAAACCTCACATAAAACCAAAAAAAAACTCGAAAAAAAACAAAAAAAAAAATTTTTTTTTACTTTATAGATAATAAGGACCAAAATAACTACATGAAATTAAGTTATTTTTCAAAGGAGGGAGATGTAACGAACTCATATATTGAATATCTACTGTACCAAGAGTACTTGAAACAAACACACTGTAACACTTTGTTGCAGTGTTTACATACACAAAGGCCGGGTCAAAAACCTAAGTGGCCGAAACATGAGTCGATCGGCGCTTTCACAGAAAGTGCAAGTGTCAGTATTCTATTACATACGCAGGCCGCTCAAACGAACTCAAGTACATCCATATACCCTCGCGCTCCAGCTAAATAGATCATAATTAAATATATATAATACATATAAGATATACATAACCGTCTCTCTGCCGTCCGACTGTGGGCAGCGCAGCTACGAGACCTTGGCTTACTTAGAACCTACGGAAAATGTAAGAATCAGAAACAACTGGATGTTGGAAGCGGCATTAAGGCTGCTCCAACTATCAAATAAAGAATAAAATAGACAGCATCATCCACATCTATGTAATCCCCATAGGCGGCACAAATTTTTATGAAAAACTGCACCATGCTTTTAAATTTGAACTCGGCTACTGATGAAAACGGCAAACACATAAAACAAAACGCGATTTGTACGTTTAAGTGTGTTACTCTTTTCTTGCTGTTTGTTAGTGCGACAAGCACTCCAGATTTATAAGTATGCTCAGTTCGTTCTCTGCTGGCGATACTAAAATTGAGAAAATTTCAGCTAACAAAATTATTATTTAAAAAAAAAAAATAGTCGCGGCACTCGACTATAGCGTGTGTTTTGTTTTATACGTTAAAATCGAAAAATCACAAATAACAGGTACTCTATATTCTTTATTAGTATAAAAGCCCTGCATTTTATAAGTCGCTTAAATATTAAAAATACCAAAATAACTAAAATGATTTGTTTTTTTTAGCAAATTTCTTTTAAAGGAAGGACACACTTGTTTCTACCCTTTTTACTCTACTAATAATATTGATAAAATCGTGTCTTCAGGATATAATTATAATCATGAAACGGAAGAGCTATCACAAAGGAAAGTATATTATTAATATTAAAACTTAAACTTAAATTTAAAATATTTAAACTGTCTCTCGATTTAACCTGGCTCTCTTCAAAATACATAAATACGGTATCCATCAATTATTCAGATTATTAACCTGTATTAGTAGCATTTCCATTTTGTTATCGGAATATGACGATCTAATGATGAGTGATGAAAAGTCTTTTCCAACTTGCCAGAAAAAAGCAGCATATTGTTAAACTTTTTTTTGCAAGGGCATCCTTATATATCATACGAGTATATTCTATACAGTTAGTGCTTACTAATAGGTAAAAATATCATTGCAGTCCTGCTGTACTATCTGGGCTACATAATGTTTTGCAAAACATAATCATGTGACTCTATATGAAGACAAAATACCAATAATTTCTGAAATTCCTTTTCAACACATTATGCATTTATTCCTACTGCAGGCAATTTTTAAATGCACATATTTAAATATTCATATTGTTTTATTCAGAGCTCGCAAATAACAGTTGACCGTTTCTTGCAGTCAAAAAGTCCGTCAACCAAAAACCAATTTCGTGCTTCCTTTTTCCTTTGTTCATTCGCTGACCGCTTTGCAACGAGCCAAGAATATAAAAGTCCTTGCGTTTGTATGAGTGTATATGCGAATGACTTGTAAGCCACACTTGGCTTTGTGGATTCGGTGCGTTTGGAGTGTTTTAATTATTGTGTCAAAATGGATCGTGATCACAATAAAAGTGATATAAACAGATTTATATCTCTCGCTGCAGTCGCCCCATCTGAGTGCGCTCGCACATGTAGTACTGGCGACTCAGGTGACCGTTGACAGGGTCTTTTTAGCGCTTCACTGCATTTTAAGCGAGCGACGAAGCTCTTTAAGTGCAGAAACTTTAAATTCTCTACTTGCTGTTAAGCTTAATACTGAATAAATAATAAATATAATGATACGATCTAATAAATATGTTAAAGTTGTAGCTAAACGTTATTAAAAAGGTACTGAAGACAAAAGACCGTTTAAAAAACGGTCAACTGTTATTTGCGAGCTCTGGTTTTATTGGATAAAAGTGTTTCCCTTATGGAAAACATTTTTATTTATTTATTTATTTACTATTAGATGGTATACATAAAAATATTTATAATATAATTACTGTTCGGTCATTGTCCGGTCTTTCAGCGATAGAGCGGAGCGGGACCCAACAAAGCTCTTCGCTCAGGAGAATTCGGCCGCCGCTATCCTCTCTCCCTCTCTCGTTGGGTCTTCTGTCTATAGCATAAGATAATTTAATTCGAATAATTTATTTCACACTGAAACTGCCTTTCGTTCGCACGCGCCCTGCATTTTCGTCGAATTCACATTGAAACTTCCTTTATTTGCACGCGCCGTGCGCTTTTGTCGTATTAAAATCAATTTCGAAGTAATATTTCGCATTTCACAAATTAAATTAATAAAAACTCTTATTAAATTATTCATAGTGACCCCGACGTGATTTTCAGACGTTGTTCTCGGAAGTGATTTAAATTCATTGTGTTTAATAAACCTACGCTACCTTATATTTATTATACCTGCAAAATATATTTTAAGATAAAAAAGTGAATCGCTTTGGGTGTTAAATTTAATTTCGTCGTGGACCCAAATTGTGTTTTAATTCCCCAACCTATCGTAGTGAGCTCCAATTTAGGGTTCAGTTTCAAGACAGAAAAAAGTGATTTATTTCGTTTTTGTTTTTTTTTCTGCAACTTGTTGCTCGATGAAAATTACGGGACATTTTCGCGTAGCGTGTCCGCCATTTTTCAAACCTCAACGCGATTTTTTTTTCGGACTTTCCATCCGCATAATTTTCCGCTAAGTGAGCCACTGGCCGAATACGACGCATACACACTCTCGCACTGATATCGCTGCCAGTTCTTTCGACCTCTCGTTGCATTTTCGTTTCGATCATTGGACAAGTGCAAGCTTCGTTCTTGTTTTTCGCAGCGTTTTCGGTACTCTGGCTGAGCTTGTTCTACCCTTTAAAGAAGAAACTAACAAATAATATATTAATTAATTTTATTTTGTTTTTTTTCGAAAATTCATCGACAAGTCCACTGCTCGCCTACGTTCGGAATATACTTCTCGTTTATTTTTTATTTTTATTTTATTCGTTATTTCTTTCGAATTAAAATAAATTTTTTATCACACTCTTCGATTCTTAAAAAATTTTAATAAACAATAACATTGCGAGCAAAGATATAGAAGAGCTTAAAAATAAACGAGATGGAATAATGTGGAGTATATCCCAGCAGTATTTACAAGAGGGTCGACTATCCCTGAATCCGGTCGAATTAGATTGCCGATTGGAAATCTAAATTCGCAAATTGAAAATGCTTCTTCAATTCAGAATCAAATCGAAGCAAAATACGCAGAGGATTTGTTCCTCGAGGAACTGGAAGAAACTGCCGTAATGGCAAAATCATTACTTATTTCGCTAATAACCAAAGGCAGGCGTATGAGCGCCGATGATGCTGCTCTGCCGGTGAAGCGCACTTCGCAATGCCGTTTGCCGAGCGTTGCTCTTCCAACCTTCAGAGAATAAAACTCCAAATTTAACAATTTTATAAGCCTTTTCGAAACATTGCCGACAAAGATGACACCCTGCACGATATTAAAAAATTTAAAAATTTGATATCGTGTCTGGCTGGCGACGCTTTAGGCATAGTTAGGGCCCTCCAAGTCACTGCGGTTAATTATCCTAAAGCCCTAACTAGTCTGAAGTGGGTGTACGATAATGATTGTCCTATTTTCTTTGACAATATATCGACACTTTTCAATATGCCGAAAATTTCCCAGCCATCAGCTACAGCCTTGACAAACCTGATCGACACAGTCAGAGCTCTTTATGATTCTCTCTGCTTCGCTTCCCCTTTGGAGCGAATGTGAGGCGGCTCCGGATGAGCGATACCAGCACATGGTCGCCGAAGAGGCTTCCAAGCCCAAAATGTTCAGCCTAGCAATACGTTCCCAAAGATAGTGGAAATAAAAGTTTTTTGTTGTTCGCTATCAGAGACGACCGTGCACCTCGGCAGAGCATGAAATTGGAAATTGCACTTCTTTCGCTTCCTTAAACGTGCAGCAGAGATTCGATTTTGCGAAAAAAGTGCCCTTATACATTAACTGCCTTCGCAAGGGTCACACTGTTAAAAAATGGAAGTCGAACAGGTGCAGGGTGTGCAAATCTTCTCACCACACATTGTTGCTCAGATACTCTGCTAATACAAATCTCGAGTTGCCGCCACGAGTCTCCATCCACTTTGCATGTTTTGCATGCGACTGTATCGGATAGAGGTATTCTTGCTACAGCTATCGTGAGGGTGTTAAAGAAAAGTGGCGAATTGTGCTGGTTCGAGCGTTGCTTGATTCTTGTTCACAAGTATAGTTTGTAACCGATAAGCTCGCTCAGAGACTACAAATTAAAAGAGAGGACGTTGGTATGAGCTTGCGCGGCATTGCTGAAACGAATGGCCAAGCAACGAAAAAAATACAGACAATAGTGAAGTGCGAATATGAAGCAGTCAGTTGTCATCCGATTTTTATGTTTTTAAAAATATTTCTGGTTATCGTCCGGATCAAGCGGTGAGCACCAGCGGTTGGAGGGTACCTGAAAATATTCAGTTGGCAGATCCATTCTTCTTCAAGCCCCAAAAAATTGATATGCTTATCGGCGCCGATTCATTCCTTGAAATTCTTTCAGTTGGCCAGATAAAGCAAGGGCCGGAACCTTCTATTTTACAAAAAACTGTTCTCGGCTGGATGGTGTAAGGGAGATGCGCCTCGGAAAATAAAATAATGGCAGAAAATTCAATACATCTCAGCTGTCAGGAAGAAGCGTTAGAGTCAATCGACACCACCCTGCAGAAATTTTGGTCTGTGGAGGACTTGCCGCACAAGGCTAAAGTCCATACTCCTGAGCAGCAAAATTTAGGAACAAATTTTTGAGAAAAATACTCAAAGATTGTCGTCTGGGAGATTTTCGGTCGTCTGCCGTTCAAATCTGACCCAATAGTTCTTGGTTCGTCATATGAAGTTGCGAAACGTACGTCGCTTGAAAGGATATTGTCAAAAAATCCTTGGTTAAAGAAAATGTACCTGAATTTCATGGAGGAATATGTATCACTGGGCCACATGTCCTTTACTTATGATCAAATTCCAGATGGCCCACACTATTTCATTCCGCACCAATGCGTGCTTCGGCCTCAAAGCACCTCAACCAAGTTGAGAGAGGTATTTGATGCCTCAAGCCGCACATCGACGCAGGTTGCGTTGAATGATTTCCTGATGGTAGGCCCCACGATTCATTAGGAGTTTACCCTTCCAGAGGACATTAAAAAGATGTACCGCCAAATGATGGTCGACAAAGCTGACTAAAACTTCCAGATCATAGTGTGGAGGCGAGATCCTTCTGAGTCTCTGAAGATCTTCAAGTTGAATACCGTAACATATGAAACTTCGCCAGCTCCGTTTATGGCGATCCGGTGTTTAATGCAGCTTGGAGCAATGGCGCAAGCTAAGTATCCAAATGCTGCGAAGGTTATTCAGAAAGATTTCTATGTTGACGATCTTTTGACAGGCGCCGGAAGCGTTGAGAACCTGCACAACCTTCGAGATGAAGTTTCTCTGGTGTTGCAAGAGGCAGGTTTTGAATTGGCAAAGTGGTTTTCAAACTGAGAGATCTCCGCATCTGAGAGCGCTGTTATGCCATTATTGGCTGACTCAGACGTAACCAAAACCTTGGTGGTTTGGTTACCTGGCAAAGATTATTTTCAATTTTGGTTGGATGACTCTTTACTGGATCTTCGTGCGATAAAAAGAAACATACTCTCCGTAACTTCGCGGCTTTTCGATCCATTAGGGCTATCGTGTCCTTTGGTCAGAAAGGGAAAGATTCTTTTACAGGAGCTGTGGCTTCGAAAAATAGGACGACTCGCTACAAATGCAGTTACTATAGCCGTGGGAAGCCTTAAAGGGAA